AACACTACACTAAGGGTCGTCGATAAAGTATATTAGCCTACGTTATTTGTTAAATATTTTACAATTTAGCCACACCCCCACCCCTTTTTTTCCCTGGGGGTTCTCAATCTATCAAAACCGTTGGACCTGCATCGCAAAGCTGTCTACATGGTCAAACTAAGCAGTTGTCCAGGGCCTAGTGGCGTCGCGCGTCTTGGGATATTATGGTGCCAGATTGTTATTGCATATTGAATGATCTTTTGGGAATTTAATTTGGACATTTTTTATTCAAGAAAGAACCAGTTTTTTTTTTTTTTTTAAATTAAAATTATTTGCTTGAACTGACCAAAATATGCACTGGCATAGGGAGGTAGGGATGTTAGGCTATTTGCGGCCAACTGCACGATTTATTTTCTTTCCATTTCGGGGTTGGCGAAAATCTTGACCCACTCAGAAGGCACTAAACCTATCTATTCCATTTAACATATGATTTTTCTTTCTTTGGTTATTTAGCTGGGACTACTGCGGTATAATACGGTATATAGATTCCAGTGACAAACCTAAGCTGAAGCCAAAATCACACCCTCAGGGGACGCAGCAACCGGAGTGAATTTATGTTTATAGCCTATATGGGGGCTGGACCTGATCGCCGTTATGACAAATTTTGACGCAGATAGATACACCACCCCCAAATGCCTGAATAGGTCCACCCCCTTACCCCGGATGAAATTTCTGAAAGAAACAGTCTGTTCATAATACAAGGGACAACCTGGAGCCTAAATGCTTTTTCCTAACATTACATGAATAGGTGAGAGGGGAGTAAGGGAGCCAGTGGATTACTTTGCCCATGGCCCCCGTCGGCGCCGTTGCTGTTAAGATGGCCCTGCAGCAGCGTAGCCAATGGGCGAGCGGGCAAGCTAAATTTCCACTAAACTCTCTTCTGCTGATCTTCGAATGATGAAATAAAAACTAAATTCCGGTATGGGTCTAATTGCGTCTTTGTATTTTTAACTTTATAAAAAATAAAAAAAAATAAAAAAAAAAAACAACAGCAACAAACAAACTTTTCCATTTTTGACGGCTCACCAACAGTGTAACAATAAAACAAACTTAATGAGCAAGTGTGAAAAAAAAAGGATTAAAGGCCTATAGGTATATAGCCACAATTTTTGCCGCCCCCTTTCACGAAAAAACTCTTTTGTTGGCCGAAAATCCACCCCCCCCCCTCTTTTTTTTTTCTTCCATTTAATGAATAAAAAAAAAGCAATCCCAGGGTAGACCACACCCTCCACCCCATATTTCCTATGCCACTATCTACATTTAACCTACAAGCTACAAAATTTATGTGTGTAATTATAATTATGTTGAGCATTATTCCTTAATGAAATTAGGACTATAAATTTAATGAGCATAATTTGTTGCAACATGTGAATTTCTTTTTGGAGCTCATTTGCGCAGAAAGAATAAGAAAACGGGAAAGAATTGTCATATAATCGATTATTTTAAGTATCGTGTGATAAATAATTGTATTGCCCAAGACGATGGGAAAGTGATTGGCATCAACAGAGCTAAGAGGCGGGTTGGGAGTGGAAGAAGGGGACAGATATCCCCGAGTGCAAGAAAATTAGGGGCGCCAAATTGGGATTTGAAGGTATTTTTTTAATGAAAATAATAATGGGTTTCATAGTTGAGAGGGGGGGGGGCGTAAAAAATTAACCCCTGGCCCAGACGTCAAACACCCTCGCTAAGGCTCTGGATTGAATCCAGAAAACTATTATTTAATTTAATGTTTTAAAATATATCGTTTTATCTGTATTCTAATTTAAAGAATGGGGAAGGGGAGGATCCAAAAGTAGCGTCATGAATAAAGGGAAGGGGACCATTTGTTACCTCATTTGATGTATAAATGTGGGTGTCCGGGTGTCTAATTTGGGTGACAAATTTGTGACGATATGGTCCCAAATCAGCCAACGTATCATGACGTCATTTATCGATATTCCAATACACGTATATTTTATGTGAAGAATTCTTAAATGCCCTGTATATTAATGACTCATAATATAGCGTTAGAGGACTGGTATAAAGTAGCAGTGGCGTGGCGAGAATATTTGGTGCACATGGCAAGAGCTAAAACTGCTTCTTTAATAAGCTTGAGAAACCTACGTTTATATCCTTATTTAGATTTTAAACGAAAAGTCAAATCTAGATAAACAGACACTCAAAGAGATAGTATTTTTATCATTTAAAACCCCACGCCCCCCTTCCAATAATATATATATATATATATATATATATATATATATATATATATATATATATATATATATATTGCTTATACTTTATCTCCCCTCCCCCGTCGATATTTTGACCCCACTCCCGTTCAGGCACCCATGGCATGTGTGTCTTGCTCCTTCCTCGGTACGCAATATTTGAATAAATGTGATACAAATTCTGCCCCTAATAATTCAGATGATTTAAAATAAAACTATAATATACTATTAGAAATAATTATCTAAAAGTACAAGCAAAGAAAAATGTACCAGCAAAGTAGAAGAATGAAAGAAAAAATACTTTAAAAAGTATTTTGTATAGTAAATTAACAATCATATTTCTTAAAATATTAAGGGCACGTAGACTGTCGAGAACTTACTTCCAGTAGTATCGAATCAAAGAGTTTTAAAAAAATACGGTTGCAAGTACATGAACCTGAATTGACCCAATAAAGCTGAAAATGGAAAAATGGCAGCTGAAGAAGAAATCGTGAGGATATCCTATGCAAATTTAGAGAAAATTGTGCATTCATCTAATTCAGGTAATATTATGTCATATTTCTAAACCATACATAAAAATTGAACATGGTTTATCAGTGATAAATAGTATTTTATTATTGGTTTACCGATACATTCATTATTCATTACAATTAAAATATTTCAGTTGTAGGAGAGTTCAGAGTATTTAGCCAACTATTTTTTGAAGTATGTCAGTTATTATTTGGTATTGCCTAGGAATATACTATTTAGTATTGTATTAAATTTAAGAATGCATAATTAACTTAAGCTGATTGCTGTAGTTTGGCTAGTAGCAACTACAGGTTGCCCGAAGACTAATACTAATTAACTAATTGAATGTTGAAACAAACCAAGTGGCTACAATTCTACAAGGCTACATACACCACAGTGTTCAGTGGTGTACTTAGCAAAACTATATAACTATGGACCTAGGCCTGCATTCACCATGACAAAACATTTCCATTGGCCTCGTCTCAAGATACGGCCGTTAGATATGATCTTGTGTGGTCTTATGCTAAGCACTAGTAGATAATACCATTTATGGTAATTAGGGATCAATTCCCACGTGTGGATCAAGTTTCTCATTTGAATTTAATATATATTTTACTATGAAATTATTATATTCATTTGTAACAAAAGTTTATTTTGACGTCATAATTTAAATGAACATTATGTGCCAATTATCAAGTTTTTTAGCTTGAACAAGATGTGGTGCCTGTAATAATCTGGTAAACTGCGTTAAGATAAGCCATACTTCGGGCACCCTTAGTGGGAAGGAAAAAAAGAGGTCTTCATGCTGCCAGAAAGACAATTTAATTTCAAATTAGCTGCCCTTTTTTAGCTTAAAGATACTATTACATGACCTCCTATAATCTACAAATTGCCTCAATATGGAGGTATGCCACAAGTTAGAATATAAAATGCATTTTACTTATGTAGCATACCGATACGAACTGAAAAATACTAAGAAATGCTCCTTACAAGTACTCTGCCACAAATGTGAAGGAACTTACCCATTATCTCCCTCACAACCAGTGTTTCTTTCAGAAATTTTTCCCTAGGGGAGCACTTCAGATTTTTGGGGGGAGGGGGGGGGCAGTGCCAGCAGTTCCAGTTGATGTATTGTTGGACATATTTTTGCTCCGGGAGGGGCACTTGGCTTTCCCCGGCACTGCCCCCCCCCCCCCCCCCCCCCCCCCCCCCCCGAGATATAGCTGAAAGAAACCCTGCTCACACCACCCAAAATAATTTTTTTTAAATATCTATATTACATAGAAAAATATTACAGTTACATGAATGTCATTCCCGTGCGTTCCTGCAGGACTCAAGCCCTGTGCAAAATAAAAATTAAAGTTCCTTTTTTTTTGTTTAATCTTGTTGGTATTAAATTAATTTAAAAAAAAAAATAATAATTAAGAAGAGTGTAACATTAATTTTTTTTATAAGTACCAGTAAGGCCAAAGAGTTAAAAATAAAGACTGTCAAAGATCATTGGTTTGCTGCATGTACCACTGCAGCGTACGCAGGCAGCAGGCAAAGTCCATGGCTTTGCTAGGTACACTGCTGCATTTTATGTAGTGCTGGCCTGAAACAAATAACTAATTATTAAAAGTGTTGGACTGCGATAAAATTTTAAAATAGATTAATTAGACAAGAACAATTTGTGTCAATATAACAATATAAGGTAAGCTTTAATGATAATTTTGTTATACTGATGAAGGCATGTGCCGAAACGTATACTATTGTATTCTGTAAAATTATCATTAAAGCTTACCTTATATTGTTATATTGACACAAATTGTTCTTGTCTAATTAATCTAATTTAAACAAATAAGCCTAATTGGGTAAATATTTGTTTGGCGCGCCACCCATTTTCCACTGCTCCTACTTGGTTGCCATGACGGTAGAGTCATTGCAACCAAAATGACAGCCATGGACAAAAAAGTAATGCAAAACATGTCTGCTAAAATTGGGAGGGGAAAGAGAGAGAATGTGCTGTTTAAGTTACCGGTACTTACAGAGAGAAATGAAAATAGGAACAAGACATTAAAATTTAATGAAATGATTTCAGCTGGTACATTAATTTTGTGACGAATGTAGCAACTTTATTATATGCAGCAAGAAATAATTTTTCTAAATAATTTACATTTATAGTTTATGGATTAAAAGTTAATTGTATAATTTTCAACTCTTTTTTTTTTTACTGCAGGTACGTCTGATTCAAAAGGGAGAAATGAACGTAGGCAAGGATTGAATCGTCAACAGAGGTCTAAAAGGCCTGAACAGCAAATTTACCGTCCAGGTCAACTTCGTCAGAGCAAAGTATGCAAATCAGGGGAGAGAAGTGGTGATATTGGTAGAGATGATGATGATAGTTTAGCAGGGGCGGACGCCTGGGTAGGAGGTGAATTGCAAGTAAATTCAACTGATGAAGATAAAGGTAATGGCAGCAGAGAAAGTAGTGGGGACATCACTTATGATGATATTAATCAACGCCTGGACAACCTCTACATTGAATCTCCACCACGTGAAATTGATTCCAAGACCAAGCGAGATACAAATGATACTCTGTCAGCACATGATGATGATGGTGTGTGTTCCACTAGTACACACAGCCCTGATGACAAAAGTTGGACAGCTGATAGAGAAAAAGATGGTGGAAAGCGCAGAGGCAAAAGACCTGACATAAAAATATATGTGCCGCGAGCAAGGTTAGGGGACAGGGAGAAAAAAAGTGAGGAAAAGGATGATGTATTTGAGAGTGCATCGCCGTCACGGAGTAATGACTGTAGAGATAAAGGGTTTGATAAGATGTTACCAGAACAGCTGGATGAAATTGTTGTCTCTGACTCTGCAGACAGCCTCAGAAAAGTGCAAGTCAAGACTAAAGGGGGTGCCATGAAAGTTACTGTCATGAACGAGTCATTAACATCTGGTGGGGAAAATTCTCCGACTTTACCACGCAAAGAATTGGGGCCTGTGCGGGGGAAGAATTATCAGAAGCCGGTACAAAATACCAGAGCTTCTCCTGGGCCGGATGCCAATTTGAAACAAAAAAATAAAGATTTTGATAATAAGGCAATAGTGCCTCCTCGAGGTACGGAAAAATTCAGCCGCCAGTTTGAGAGTAGCAAGAAAGGTAAAGGGAAACATGAATTTGGTCATAATGAGGTAACGGTAAGTCAAGATATTAGAAAAAATTTTCCACAGAAAGTTGAACGGTCTGTTAAATCATTGAACAAAAACCGAAGGTCAAATTCCAGTGACTCAAGGCCTAAAGATCATGGGAAAAGTGAAGCAAACAGTTGTCAGTCAGATAAAGGTCAATTTTCAAGTGAAACTTTTCCTCGGACAAAGGTTCCTAACAACAAAAGCTCCAAGACAGGTGGAAAAGATACATTCACTCAGAGCAAAAACGGGAAAGATACATATGGTACAAACAAAGGTCCAGTCCGTGAAGGGGAGAAATTTTACTGGGGCATGCGAAGACAAAGAACAGGGAGCATTAGTAGTGAGGCCAGTATTGCAAGCAATCCGAGCAATGGATCCTTCTACAGTGGAAGCAGTGATTTTACAGAAGATGATGAACCCGAGCATATTTTAAACTGGGGAGAGGAAGTTGAGAAGGCCCATCTTGAAGAGCTGGCTCGGCTGGTCCATGACGGGGCAAAGAAATTAACAAACAGTCTGGATTCTTATCCAGGGTTTGGCCCAACGGAGGGCAATGCTGGAACTGAAAAGAAAATAGAGGTTCCTTCTACGTTAGATCGTCAAAAGTCTGTTTCAGCTGATGAAATTTATCATGGTAAAGCTAAGGAGGGCGGGAGGACACGACATAGAAGACACAGGCACAGAAAAAACTCTTCACGTCAGGGAAGTCGAGATTCTTCTGTTCACAGCAGTATTCATGGGGAAGATGGTTTCAGTGAAAGAGGCCACAGGCGGAGGAGGAGGCAGCGTCGGAACTCTCAGGGATCCCAAGGAGGCTATGAACATCACCACAATCGTCTACAGCAGAAACAACAGCAGCAGCAACACGAAGACAGGCACTATGCAGAAAGTGGTGGGGATTCTGGCCGAAATAACAGGTCAGGTCTGCAAGTTACCATTGGTGACCACAACAGGCATGTGGAAATCAGTAGAAGTGGTGGGCCTCGGCAGAGGCATCGGAGTGATGAGAAGTGGGACCCTAATAATGTGAGAGATTATGACGTAGAAGAAGGAGAAGAGGACTGGGAGAGAAATTATGATTATGGGGAAGACAGAGAATTTAAAAGAGATGATAGGCATGGTCAGCAGAAATGGGAAAAAGAGCATCCGCCACGGTTCAAGAGAGAAGGTGTAGGTGCTGGTAGAAGTAGAAGAGGAAGTGTTAGGGATGAGATCCAGAGACAGCAGAGTGGGAGAGAGAAAGAAGAAAGAAACAGACATGAGGAGCATGGAAATAATGAAGAGAGGGGTGAGTTAAAACAAGAAAAGGACTTTGATCAAAGGCACAGTGGTGATCAGAGGGCAGTACATCCAGCACATGATGCAAGTGCTGGGGGCAGGAGCTGTCAGCGAGGAGGTAGGGGACAGGGAAGAAATGTTAACAAAGCCAAAAGCCGAAGGAGAGATGAGAGAGATGAAAACTGCAATCAGCATGAGCAGCGACATCCCATTCAGAGAGCGGGCTCTTTAAACCATGAAGACACCGCCGCATCCCAGAAAGCCAGAGGTGGCGGATTGCTCCGGCTGCCGAGCCAACCAGAGCCACCACGCCCTCACAGCAACCCAAGCCCCGCCAGTCATGCTGATCACGCATTTCATCACCACGCTGATAACTTTGGCGGAGGTGGGCCTTCTAGCAGTGCACAGGGGTCCAACACTCGTGGTCCAGCGCAGGGCAAACGTCATCTCTTCGACCCCAAAAACCCATCAAAGCCCATAATGGTTCCAGATGCAGCCCCAAGATTTGAAGACACAGACAAAGGCTCCTCCCCTGGTGCAGTCTCTGGACATATACCTTCCTCCCCTGACAGCCCCCAAACTCTTCCCTACCCCCAAGTCTTTTACCCCACAGAGTTCATGCATCCCATGTACAGATTTAGACCACCAATGGCACCTTTCCCTCCTTTCATGGGAGGCTACCCACCAGGGTCCATCCCGCCTCATGTATTCTACAGATTTCCTCGTATGACACCGCCTGATATGGGATTCTACAATAGGTGAGAGGGTTAAAAGATTCTGTCTTTTGAAAAGTATTGTAAGCTTTAAAAAAAAATGATTTCTACAACTTCTCTTAACTTTTTTTTTTAAAAGGTTTTATTTATGACTCTATTGGTTGCAGTGGTTTTTTGCTCCACTAAATCTTAGGTGTAAGTATAATATATAGTTATGTATAGAGTGATGGCCATTTTAAGTCCATAAATTAATTTAAAAAAAACAAACTTTCATAATATTTTACACTGCAGTTCCTTGTATTTATTCTTGTTTGGCAGCCCAGCTGAAATGGACAGTGAAGGTTTGATGTCATCCTCATCAAGGGCACAGTGTCGAATGATGGCTGAGCAGATTTTGAGAGACTCTGTACCATTTGAAAGTCAACTTGGTAACATATTGTCCAGAAGGCCCAACTCAGAGGACAGTTTCAGAATGGTCAATCAGATACGGTAAGATCAAGGGAGAAAATTATATATAAATAACAAGTAGCTAGAACTAGAAAGAGACTGAGATAAAATTTTAGAAGAATAGTACATAAATCAATGCTGCACCTGTTTCCTTTAGCATTTGCTCTGGGGTAATATCTTGACACAATTTCTCTAAGAATAACCTTGTTGTTGTCACTACCTTAAAGTATATTATAAGTAAAAAAGAAACATCAACCAAAGGTTCAATTTAGTGTTCAACCTCGTCTTAATGTTTTTAAATAAAAAGAAACATTTTATCACCAACGATTTGGTTTGAATGCCCACAGAGCAGAGCTCCAAAACCGTCTGGAGCAGGTGATGTTGATGGACATAGAGGTAGCCAACAAGCACAACGTCGAGCAGACCTTGTGGAAGTCGGTGTACTACCAGGTGATTGAATCTCATCGCAAGAGAATTGTGGAGGATTCCAAGGATTTTGTGTCCAAGCAACGATTGATAGATGTTTTAGATGAGGTGAGGGCATCATGTGAACCAAGTTTTTATAGCTAGAAACCTAAGACATTTTCAATGAGATCAAAGCATCAAGTGATCCATGTTTTTATAGCTAGAAACCTAAGATGTTTTCAATGAGGTCAGGGCATCAAGTGATCCATGTTTTTGTAGTTGGAAACCTAAGACGTTTTCAATGAGGTCAGGGCATCAAGTGATCCATGTTTTTGTAGTTGGAAACCTAAGACGTTTTCAATGAGGTCAGGGCATCAAGTGATCCATGTTTTTGTAGTGGGAAACTTAAGACGTTTTCAATGAGGTCAGGGCATCAAGTGATCCATGTTTTTGTAGTTGGAAATCTAAGACGTTTTCAATGAGGTCAGGGCATCAAGTGATCCATGTTTTTTATAGCTAGAAACCAAAAAGAAAAAACTTTAGTTAGAGACGTTTATTTTGTCTTAGCACTTTCATTTTATTTTAAATTTTGTAACAATAATGGTGTTATATATTTTTTGTTCAGCATAATTTTAAAAAGCTTCATGTTAAATTTTCATGAATATAATTATTATAAATGGATTCCTTTGTCTGTATAATATTGTTTTGTGGTTATATTAAAGACAACTCATTTCTCAGGAATAATGTAACAAATAAAATTATCTGAAATGGAAAAAGATACCCGGTACTTTCATTCCTAATATGATTTGAAGAAAATTAAGTAACTTTATGGACGTTACTAATTATGTTAGCTAATCGTAATGAGAAGCTATAGATTATTAAGATTCGCTTTGTGATTCACAGTGGAAAGTCTGATACACCTGCTTTATTGCCAAAAGGGTGAATAAATATTCTTCCATTAAAATTAAATGGAAATGTGCATGAGCTGGCACTCAGTCAAGCGTCACATAAAATTAAGTTCAATATAATGCGCTGCTCTCATTTGCACTTTCATGATTCAACAGGGAACTCGATTCTTTGAAAATGTTCTGAAAAAACTCCAGAGCACTTTTGGATTTGATCTTGAAGTGTTTTCTGATGGAAACAAGCCAGTGCCTGAGAATGTGGGTCGCAATGTGAAGTTTGCCCTGCTTAGTGCTCAGAGGGTTATGATGTTTTTAGGGGACATCTCACGCTACAAGGAGCAAGCTTCAGACACAACAAACTATGGCAAGGCCAGGCAGTAAGTCTCTAGATAAGTGTGTCAGACTCTTCTTCTATTAGTAGCGCAATGTTTGCAGGGTGAAGAGGATTGAAAAACCCAGTTAATGGTGTGAACTTTTTATTCTTATTCTTGAAAGACATGACATCAATTTTGGTTTACAAATAAGAGCAGTCCTAATTGTGATTTGTGGGGAAAAAAAATAATGTCTGAAGGTAAGGCAAGATAAATTAACCAAAAGTCATGTTGTTTTCATCCCCCAAAATGGGGAACAAGTCACATTTTATACTAATATTTTATTTAAATTTATTATAGCTGGTACCTCAAAGCTCAACGTATTCATCCTCGTAATGGCAGACCATATAATCAACTGGCTATTTTAGCTGTCTATACAGTAAGTAATAGTGAAATATACATTTTTGTAGTAGCTAGCAGGAATTAAACAGCTTTGAGTGCATTTAGTTAAATTAACGGATGAATTTAAAATCCATTCATATTTCATGTCTGCTTTTTATTATCGATAAGCAAAAAACATTGAATTTGGCCAGGGGAAAGGGGGGGGGGGGGGGGCGCTGTGGGCATCACTGATAGACCTGCTTTCATTGTTTCAATATTTGGTAAACATTTTAAAGATCATATATTAAACTTTGACTTAATTTTGAGATATGACAAATAAGCAAAAAACATTGAATTTGGCCAGGGGAAAGGGGGGGGGGGGTGGGCGCTGTGGTCATCCCTGATAGACCTGCTTTCATTGTTTCAATATTTGGTAAACATTTTAAAGATCATATATTAAACTTTGACTTAATTTTGAGATATGACATCAAGTAAGATTATGATATGAAGATTATTATAACTAGTGTAAATAACACCATGCATTTCTTGCACTGCAGAGACGAAAGCTTGATGCTGTGTACTATTATATGAGAAGTCTTGCTGCAAGTAATCCAATTCTGACTGCTAGGGAATCTCTTATGTCTTTGTTTGATGAAGTCAGGAGAAAGGTAATTTTGTTTTAGATACATGTGTTTTGTTACAGATCTTTTAACACCCTAAATCAGTGGTTTTCTGACTCTGCCTTAGTCTGCACCCATAATAATAAGGCCGTTCTTGTTGCACCATTTATCTCAAGACCAAATATTTAGGAAGTAACCCAACCAGACCCAGCCCTCCCAAGTAACCCAACCAGACCCAGCCCTCCAAGTATGCCAACCAGACCCAGACCCTAAAAGCAATATGAAACAGCTCTCCTAAATTATTGCTTCTCTTATAAGAACAATAGTTAATTTGTGTGCCTACAAACTTATGTTTTTCTTGAAATAACTGAAAAGAGGTAAAAAAATGAATACAGTAGGGAAGATTTATTGTGATCATGTATCTGTTTAATGAAACTTGAATAACTGAAAATTGGACAAACGTACACATATTATGAATTTTAAAATCTTTTGAAATTTTATTCTAATTTTTTAAAGCAGCTGATTCTAATAACCAGTGATGACAAATAACAGCACCTGCTGTATGTTTTGTTCCTGGGTGTCTGATCCAAGTGCTTTAAGCAAAGGAGCTAGCTTTCTTTCTTTATATAACTTAATTTTAAGTGAATTATACATTTAATGAATGGGGAAAGGCAATTTATCTGTTTGTTACCAAGGAAAATTTTTCTCAGTGCTCAAAGTTTTTTTTTGTGTGTGTGTTCATTTTGCAAGGTTGATGCTGCTGAGAAAAAGAGATTTGAAGATAGGAGGCGCAGAATGGCACTAAGACGCAAACCTCAAATTCGAGGGCCTCGAGTAGAAATCTGGGTCCAGCCAGATGGGACAAGTACACAGGACAGGGTTGAGGAAGGAGAGGAAGATGATGACCTTAGTTCGTTGTCTGTCTTTGAGGTGGGTTTGACATGGGAGTGGTTTGTTATGACTGGGACATAAGCTATACATAGTGATAACGTGTACAGCTTTATGGTTTATTTTTTATTTACTCCCTCTATTACTCTGTACAAGTTTATGACTTTTTTTGTTGGATATGAATCTGACAATGCATTAAGTTGTGAGGTTTTAATTCAGGAATTTTTAATCAAACTTCTAATAAAGGATACATTTTTTAATAAATTATAAATATAGGATATTTATCTCAATATATTTATGTTAACACACTTAGTCTAAAGGTAAATAATTGTGCATGTTTTACTTTTACCAGTTGAATAAACGCTTTGTCCTCACTTACCTCAATGTGCATGGGAAACTCTTTACCAAGATCAAGTAAGTTTCCTTTCCCATGCTCCATTTAGTAGGTCAAAACAACATGCGACAAAATACCACTTAGTCCCATTGTTACCGCCCCCAGTCTTGATGTTATCCATATAGAATAAAATATATTTTTCAATAACTAATGTATTCAACACATAATGCTATATTTATTTATAAAACCTTTTTTTTTTTTTTAAATCTGCAAATTAAAATTTTTTTATTTACAATTCTAATTGAATTTTCGTGTACTTGAATAAATTTCTATAATTGAAAATACCCTAATACTTTGTCCATAAAACAAAATTTAAAAATATTAATTTATCTCTNAAACAACATGCGACAAAATACCACTTACTCCCATTTTTACCTCCCCCAGTCTTGATTTTATCCATATAAAATAAAATATATTTTTCAATAACTAATGTATTCAACACATAATGCTATATTTATTTATAAAACCTTTTTTTTTTTTTTAAATCTGCAAATTAAAATTTTTTTATTGACAATTCTAATTGAATTTTCGTGTACTTGAATAAATTTCTATAATTGAAAATACCCTAATACTTTGTCCAGAAAACAAAATTTAAAAATATTAATTTATCTCTTAATTGCTCTTCCATGCATGAAATCATGTAATGTAAGAATATCAAGTTTGTAGAAACTGTTAAATCTTCCAAAGTTTCTTGTTGAGAGATCATACCTTGTAGCATTAAGTAAATTGAAATATTTAACACACAAAAATCTGACAAAATGACCGCCATTGAAACCTCTGCAGTTTTGAGATGTTCGCTGAAAGTTCAAGTTTGATGCTTCAAGAATACCAAATTCTAATCCAGCACTCTCCCTGTGTGTTCAGCAGTACCCGCCTTCTCCAGCTAATGGTTATCAACATGTTCTCAGTGGACAACACAGCCCTGAAAGGTCAGTCCTCAGACTTTTTTTAGCCAGTTGGTCTTTAGAAAACTTTGGACAGTAGGACAGTTCATTAAGGTTGAGATCTTTTCATGCTTGCCTTTAAGGAAACTCAATGTGTGTTCTGCCTGGATTTTTGTTTGTTTGGTAACTCATCAATCATTTGATCATTGTCCCAGTCTGTTGACAACATTGTCAGTTCTCCTGACACTTCAACAAATAACCAAAGTCCTGACCAGTCTGATGACCACTAAATCTAAAATATGAAAGCAGACTCACAAAAATATTTATTGGCGTATAACACGCCCCCGCGTATAACACGCACCCGCGTATAACACGCACCTCAATTTAAGAAAGAAATTACAGGAAAAAACTAAACATTATATAGGAGTATAACACGCACACATCATTTGCCCCCTATTTTCAGGGAGAAAAGGTGCGTGTTATACGCCAATAAATACGGTGTGTATATATATATATATATATATATATATATATATATATATATATATATATATATATATATATATNNNTATATATATATATATATATATATATATATATATATATATATATGTTGTTTTAGAGCATTTACTGCAAACATTTTTGATGATGCCAGGGGTACTAAAATAGCCTTTTTTTTTTTTAGTGCTAAGAAATTTTAGAGAAATAACAGGTGCTGATATAAAACTAAATATTCTGTGTTATTTAGAATGAGGCATTACATTCTTTTAGAACCATGGAATGGGTTCCTCTTTTTGTCTGTTTTAAACAAACTCTTGTAGGTGTCTCTAAATTTTGTATTCAGAGCTATATAAATTATGAAGTTGCAAGAGCTATTTAAGCACACCACCAGATTGATCATTTGGTACATTAGACTGCCTATGTTCAGAGGGCTGTCATCTGTCAGAAGGTATGTCACTTGTTCTGGTGCAACCACTGGGAGGGATATAGCGGTACAGCTTAGGGTGTACATTCCACAGACAGCCAGCAGAGTCTTTGTAGTTTGGTACTTTGAAGATTTTTTCGCACCTGCCCTTGTTAATTTCCTCCGCCTCGATGCTGCGACTTTTATCTTGATGCATATAACCATACACCCGAGAAATGTGAAAAGGGGAGCAATCCTCATGCTGAGGTTGGCCCAAGCCTCCTCACAGGCAGAGATGGCGGGCCGGTCATGCCTGAACATGGGCGAGCGTTGTATGTAGCTGTAAGATGAGTTCTGTGACAGGTCATGAAGGGAAGTCACCTCAAACCAAAATGTGGTGTACAAAACATTGAGGTACCAAAATATAAAAACTATCACCATCATGATCCAGGTTCTTTTTGGGGTCATGATCCTTGAGAATTTGAGTGGGAAGAACACTGCAGCGAGCCTCTCGATCGTTATCAACATTGGTAGAGTGATGGAGACGTAACCAGAAGAGTAATCGATTATTAAGAAAAGTTCAAAGCTGATGAAGAGGATTTTGTCAGTTAGCTTGGAAAATGAGAATAGTGTGTACCCGAGTCCGGCGTAGATCATTTTCGGGACGCTGTTGAATCCGAGAAGAAACAGCAAGTCGCTGACAGCCAGACCAAAGAGGAGAACGTTTGAGGATTTCTTCAAGCTCTGTTTCACCAGCACCAGGATGCTGAGTATATTGCCAATGATACCCACAAGTGAGACAGCTGGGGTGACACCAAATAGCAGGATGAGCTTGATATTATGGGCTGCTGTGGTGTCCACAAGTGGCTGTGTTGTGCTGTTTTTAAATGTTAGCATATTGAAAGGACTTGGAACAATAATTTTTTTTAAAAATTAAAGGTGTTTAATTATTCTCTTATGACATACGGTTGTCTTATTTTTAACTATTTTTAAGTCACCTACAATATCCTTTCATTTTCTAAGATCTATCCTTTATCATCTCCAAAACATTATTTAACTGTCAATGCCTACATTAATTTTGTAAAAGTGATGCCTATGACGTTTATTTGCTCTAAGTTTTGTGAAACTTCCTTTTTGAAATTCTCCCTTTTAAAAATAAAAAATTATCTATATATATATATATATGTATATATATATACACATCTTGGTTTTCTATAGTCACAGCTCTGATATTTTTAAAAGAATCTGAGAATCGTATTATAAGTGGACATCTTTAACCTAAGTTGGGTTGGATCAATATGAATGCAAATACTTTTTTTTTTTAATGGCTAAAATTTGTTTTAGTTGAAGTTGAGTCAATAAAAAGATTTAATTGAATTATCTTTCTGTTTGAACAATGTAACAGTGTGCAAATATATTTAAACATAGAAATGCATGAGCAAACATCACCATTAAATTACTCTCTAGTCTTTTTTGAAATTATCTCATTTTTCAATTTTTAAATAAGTTGATTTAGTGGAAGATTCTTTTGCAATTATCATTTTTTTTTTTTTTAAATGAGTTTGCCATACTGAATTTATATGCATAGCAAAAATAAATAATAACTAGAAATCTTTACCATAATTGGAAAAAGCAGTTCTATTATTTTCCTATATTAGTTGAGAATTATATAAAATCTATACAAACATGCATTTGGGTGAAGCAATGAGGTTTAATAAANTTTTTTTAAATTTTCTTATTTTTCAATTTTTAAATAAGTTGATTTAGTGGAAGATTCTTTTGCAATTTTTTTTTTTTTTTTTTTTAAATGAGTTTGCCATACTGAATTTATATGCATAGCAAAAATAAATAATAACTAGAAATCTTTACCATAATTGGAAACAGCAGTTCTATTATTTTCCTATATTAGTTGAGAATTATATAAAATCTATACAAACATGCATTTGGGTGAAGCAATGAGGTTTAATAAAAATGAGAACAAACATTGCATGATTATATTGCAATTAACTATGAGCTATAATAAGGGGCGTGGGGTGGGGGGGGGGTGGGGTGGGGTGGGGGGGATTCCCTCTGTTTAAGTAATCCAAATAGGAATTATAGAATAAGGTTTTTTCCCCACAGATCAAATATTGGGCTCCAAAGGGAGCTGCTAACACTAAGTAAACTGTCATTAGTTTTTTTATCAAGAAAACTCTAATTGTGCTAATTAGTCTTGCTTCAGATATAATTTATGGCACACAATAGATATAAGGAACAGCAATGGGGACTGTACTTTACTTTTTTTTTTAATATTCATATTCTATGCAAGACTTGAAACATATCTGTAACTTATCAGTTTATAAACATTTGAATGGAATTGTTTTGTTTTTTTATGCCTAAGCAAATATTTTATCATAGTTTTTTTCCATACCATTATTGGAGAAACCTACAGGCATTTGTTTATTTAGCACTGATGTGCGATTTAGTTTTGTTTAAATTTGGTATTTTGTCTGTGCTTTAGCAACAGCATTGTTTATTTCGTTGTGATATTGCCATAATTATAAGGAATTATTTGGAACTCAGTAGGGAAAAGCAGGTGATTATGAAGTACCCTGTATTATAGCTGAAACTTAATCTCATTTGGAAACATTCCATGGCTTATAGCTGAAACTAATCTGTCTCATTTGGTAACATTCCCTGGATTATACCTGAAAGTAATCTGTCTCCTTTGGTAACATTCCCTGGATTATACCTGAAAGTAATCTGTCTCATTTGGTAACATTCCCTGGATTATACCTGAAACTAATCTGTCTCATTTGGTAACATTTTTTTTAGTATCAATTACAACAAAAAGAGTTTAACCTTAACCTGCAATTGTTTTTTTTTTTTTTTTGTTGCTCATTAACTATATTTTCTTTTATCTTGATGTTTAGATTAGTCTCTTGATATCAATTACAACAAAAAGAGTTTAACCTTAACCTGCAATTGTTTTTTTTTTTTTTTGTTGCTCATTAACTATATTTTCTTTTATCATGATGTTTAGATGAGTCTCTTGAGGAGCAGTGTCGGTCTGTGTTGCAAGAACATGCTGTGGAGATTGGACTTGAGATGTTTGGACTGCTGGTGAGGAGGAGCTGTGAGCTGCTGACTGCACAGATAGAAGCACAAAACAGCCGCAAGAAAGGTAGCGATGGTGGCACCATTTGGGAGACCAATGGTTCAAATTGTCATTATAAAAGTGGTAGCACCGACGGGGAGACTAATGGTTCAGGTTGTCATTGTAACGATGGTGGCACTGTCAGGGAGACTAATGGTTCAAGTTTTTTTGGTGGTTTTTTATGTCCAAGATGAAAAGAAAACTGCCCAAGATTTGAATAATTTCCTTATTGGCTCACATTGATCAGCTTAAACCTTCAATGTAAAAAATGTGAACATGCACCAAATCAAATTTTCAACAGCCATAGTCTGCAGAAAATTCAATATATTTTTTTGGGTGGTTCTATTACAATGGAGGATACCATTATAGTAGCCATTCAAATGTAGAATCCTTTAGTTAATTTTTAACCCTCAAACACCTTAATATTTGTAGTTAACCTTAACAAGTAGGGAACAATTGGAAATCTCAGACAATGGCCCCGGACAAATATCCAATTCTTTTCAAGTATTCACATCGGCACATACTACTATTACTAAAGATGCAGATATGAATAATTATAAGTGATAATGCACTGTGAATTTTTTCATGAATAATGTACAAATGGTACTTGGATTTGTACCCGGATTTGGCAAGTAGTGGCACTAAAAAACTCGGATTCGGTACCTGGTTAAAATGTCTAACTGGTTGTTCCCTATAATCAAGTATCAGTTATATCTGCTACTCATGTGTCTTGCAAATAACAGCAGTGAACGATTTCCATCTGATCGTGCCTAGGAGAAAGCAGTGAGAATCCTCTACCCCCAAAGAAAGCCAGCCTGAGTAGAGCAGACAGCTACGTTCCACTGGATGAAGACCTTCACCTCATGCTGCCAGCTCTCAAAACATGGGTGGACTGGATGATGTGTCACCCACACCTTTGGAACCCACAGCCTCTGAACAGGCCTCCGGACCTCGGGTAAGCTTGACTGTGTACTTTGACTACTTGTGCTACCTCCTTGTTAGTAAACAAGCAAAACAAAGTATGGGCAAACCTGAAAAGGGGATGCAACAAAACAACGATCGTGTTGGCAAGAAGTTTTCTTCAGCGAACACATAACAGTAAAACAATATCAAAGTAAACACCTAGCTGCAGTGTAGTATATGAGAGGGCAGCAGGAGGAATGTGATAGGCAAATAGTTGGTGAGAGGGCGAAAACAGACAAAATTGGATGAAAGAGAGGAAAGTAAGTCCACTGGGATTGGTTGTAACATTGAAAGGGGTGGTGGCAGAGAAAGGGTTTAAGTGAATGAGAACATGACATTCAAGCCATGTGGTTGTGGTATCACCACATCCTCTTGCTGTCCTCTCGCATATTACATTGCAGCTAAGTGTTTATTTTTAATTTATGTTGTTTTTACAGTTCTTTTTTCACTGAAGAAGGCTTCTTGCCGTCACGTTCGTTGATTTGTACATCCTTTTTTCAGGTTTTCCCATTCTTTGTTGTGTCTGTTTCCTTTTACATAACCTGACTGCAAAGTCCCTCCCCTTTAGTACTCTTTGTCAGTACTCTTGACTACTTGTGCCAGCTCCTTGTTGGTGCTGTGACTACTTATGCTACCTCATTACCAGTCATTTGACTAATTGTGCTGCCCCATTATTAGTTAATTAATTCAGGATATTCAGTTTCTTTTCATTTCCTATGACTGAGTAAAAAATCCATATTATAATTAAATCAATTAAAATTATTTCTGGCTGCTCACGAGTCTGACAGGATTTGAAACTGTGGGTGTAATATGGAAATGTCATTAAGCATTATTTCGATAGCCATTTAAATTAATCATTGTTATTGATTTGAAGCTTGCCCAAGTCAAATGATAAAGCTGACATTAAAGACACATGATTTATTAGACATTTTGGGCATGCAGTAATGTTTGGATCACAGAGAAGGACCTTAAACCCATGTGGTCAAGTTTGTTTAACCTGATGATGGTTCTCAATCAAAATTAAATTCTTTTACTTTTAGTCCACAAATAGATGTGTGGAAAAATCTGGCTACTTTTTGTGACCTCTTGAATGCTGTGGATACAAAACAAGGTTGTTTGATAAGAGAGCAAAAGGAAGGTTGGTTATAAGCTGTTTTTTTAAACTGAATTAAATAAGAGTTTCGTTAATAAATTTCCTGCGAAGCTTAAACTGTACTGTTGTACTCAAAGGAAATCTTTGGTATTATTAAGGAAACTTTAAGTTCTTTTAATTCAACCACTTCTTGTTCCTTTACAGTTTTTTTTATGTAGCCTATTGTTCCGTTTATTTTTTAAATCTCATTTTATTCACACACAGGCTTGTCAGAAAATTCCCTTTTAAGTAGAATTCAAACTGGCTAATATCCTGAAATTGAAACTTTTAAAACAGTGTTTCCCAACCTTTTTGGCCCCACAACCCCCTGAGCACCTAAAAAGCTTTAATGTACCCCTTGTCTTGTTTAACATCCCCTTCCTCCCCTTTTGAAATGTAAAACACCCCCTCCCTCCCAACTAAGTGCCCCCCCCCCAATCTTAAAAATTGCCCACCTGTTCTTTATTGTATGCCACATGTTGGTAAAACACTTGTTTCAAGTATAATTTTAAAAGCCAACATATTACCCCTTTTTAAATGTAAAACACCCCCCCCCTCCCAACTAAGTGCCCCCCCCCCCCCAATCTTAAAAATTGCCCACCTGTTCTTTATTGTATGCCACATGTTGGTAAAACACTTGTTTCAAGTATAATTTTAAAAGCCAACATATTCACTATGTTATCATGTATGAAACAGGTTATGAGCCAGTGATTCTTCACGAGGATACAACATTAGCTGGTTTTGTTCCAATGTTGAGTGCGCCTCAGGAGGTGTTCTACGCTGACTCCACCATTGACAAAGAAATAGCTGAAGATTGGCTGAGGATAGAAAAACTGAGGCTGTTTGGAGAGTATCTCTGTGGGGTTGAGCCACCTCTGCTGGCCTACAATGTGGAGAGTGGCAAGTACTATTCTGTGGCCCCATCACCCACACGGTCTGAGGAGAAACTTGTCGGCGATGAGGCAAGGGACTCTGGAGAGGATGTAAGACTTTTTTTTTAAAAAATCATCTTATATATGTAACCCTACTAGTGTATTTTTCAAACATATATTTTGTTAATATATAGATATAAATGAGAATTATTGTTTCTTACATGATATGAAATGTGTAAATCACCTTAAATCGGAAACACAAAAACTACGCTATGTTGAGTTCTACAATAAAAAGTATTTAAAGCAAATTTTTTCATGAAATAGCTCTCTAAATTAGGGTAATCATGTTGTGATAATAAGATTTTACTGTTAAAAAATTGTATTTGTGATCTGAAGGCAAACTAATTGTATTTTCACTAAACTCAAATTCAGAAAATCATTAAACATTATTTTAATAATGGACATGAAATAATTAAAAATGTGACACCATATTTGCTTGCTATCAGTCTGATGATGTCATAATTGAACATGATGACTCGGATGGAGACTCCACCAAAGACAACAAAGAGAAGAATGACATTGAGCTGCTGAAAGCTAAGAAGGCAGAGCTGAATAGGCAGAGGGAGGAGCGGGAGAAGAATAAGGAGAACATGGAGGTCTGTTACTTTGGCTGTTTCAAAGCTTATGTGGAACAAACTTTTTTAATGTAAACATTATCTTAAATTTTAAAGATTCAAGACTTTACTGATGTAGTAGAGTTTTTAAAGAATGATTCTTACTTATATTGTTGGCACTTTAAAATAAAAATAGCACTTAGTTCTATTATTTTTACGAGATAAATCACATCTGTTGTGTTTGAATGTGACAAAAAACAACTCATCTGAAACTTAAGCTTACTCTGCACATTTGTTTTTCCTATCAGGCAATATTAGACAGCCACAGACATGCCAAGATTGAGCTTGAAATCTGTCCAATTTTCCTCATCCCTGACACCAACTGCTTCATTGACCATTTTTCAACATTGAAGAAAATTCTCCAAACTAAAAAATATACATTGGTTGTTCCCCTTGTTGGTGAGTTTCCACAGTATTTGAAAACAAATGTTGTTCTTTAATTTTCTGCCCCATGAATTAAATTGTATACATTTGAAATAATCATTAATGCAGAAAAAAATTAGCGTGTATTTTATTTTTCTTGTCACCTATATTCATATTGACATCTCCAAATTTGAGTGCTTAGCAATCTAACAGACGAAAAATTAAGCAGTTAAAAAGAACCCGTTCGGAATATTTGTTTTTTTTCGCATTTGTCCTTCACATGTGAAGGTGACCAAGAGTACGGAGGTGGCTTGTCAGTTCTATTTTTACCTGGAAACCTCCCTCACACGTGGGACACACATTTTTTTGGATCCTTGGTGGATTTGAGTTGATTCTGCTTTTCCTTGCTGTGTGCTTCCTTTGGGAGTGATCAGTGCACCGATTCTTTGAGGACTTTGCTCAGTCAGTGAGTCTTCCATGATCCATAGCAAGTGTCTCCCACGAATCAAGGTCACTATCCAAGGATTGAGTGAAGCTTTTAGATATCCTCCAAGCATTTTTTTTTCTGCCCACCATCTGAGCGTTTACCACTGGAGAGTTCGCCGAGCATTAGTAGTTTGGGAAGTATGCATTCTTGCAACAGCTCTGCCCATCTTGCTTGTCCTTTTGAAACTATACGCTGATTTCAACACAAGCAAATGACTCAACAGTAATCTCTATTTGGCTGTTTCAAAACATTCCTGAATCAGTTGCAAAATTAAGCAGATGTCAAACTAATGTCACAGTGGGGACTCCCTTACATTCCAGCACATTTCTCCTGCCGTATACGTTAGTGTGATAGCAAAAGTTTGCATGCTCAACTTTAAGAATTAACACAGAAAGTGTTGTAAATGTTGTAAAAAATGTTTTTTGGTTCCTTTGAGCTTTCTTAAGAAATATAATAATATTGTTTATTCAGTGATTAATGAGCTGGATGGCTTAACTAGAGGGGCAAGAGACAAGCAGTACGACAGCCCTGACCATGCACACAAAGTCAAGACACAGGCACAGGCAGCCATTGAGTTCTTAGAGGCAGAGTTTGAGGTTAAAAACCCAAATTTGAGGGCGCAAACTGCCAAGGGCTCTATTCTAGAAACTATTGCCTTCAGGAGTGAGGAGTCCAATGGCCCGGTGAGTAACTAGAGTTAACATTGCTCAATGAGTATAAAAATTAAAATGAAGTAGCTATACTGACCCTCAAGTACCAGTTATTCTCTAATGGAAATAATATCCCTGGATATGGGGCTGCCAGGGAATCATGCTCACTGAGACCCAGATAAGTGTGTCGAGTCTGGATTTGATACAGATAACAATTGTTTATATCAATAACACCCCCCACCCCCTATTGCAAACCCTGTAAGATAATTTGGGCATTTCTATGGGAGATTACAACAAATGCAAAAAAAAACAACTAACTTGTTTGATGTCTAGGACCATGACACCTGAACGAGAAATTTAAAGAAAGAAATCTTTTAATTCAAAATAATACATTTTAATAGTTTTATAATAGCTTTATAATTTTACCAGATTTCCTTAAAGCATTACATACATTCTGATTTTTTTTTAAAATCGTATAATTTATTACTTTTCATTTATTTTGCTAACATTTGTTTAAACAGTTGTAAAGATTAGCAGTCTTCATGACATTTAACAAATTTTTCAGGGAATTAATGATGACATCATCCTGAACTGTTGTTTGCATTACTGCAAGGACATGGCCAGGGAGTTTATGCCTAAAGACAAAGGTGACCGCTACGCTCATGTTTTACTTAACAAACATGTAATCTTTATAATTATTTATTTACTTCTGTATGGTTTGACCAGAACTGAATCTCCCATAATAACAGATCGACTGTTTTCCTATTATTGTTTATTTTATTTTGGTTTCGTCAGATCACCCTGTTCGGTTATACAGAGAAGTGGTCTTGTTGACTGATGACAGGAACCTGCGTCTCAAGGCCCACACCTGCAATATACCAGTCAAAGATGTGCCCAACTTCAAAAAGTGGAGCAAGATCACATGATCCTCCCCCCACCATTCCTTCCACTCAGTTGGCTCGATGCAGTCTCTTGTACCACAAGTGTCGGAGCAGTCTTGTCTCCGTCAGTGGAACTGGTGGTAAAAGTGTGTCAACACACCACCACCTTCCCGTCTTGCATGCTAGTTTTTAGCCACGCCTCAATGCGTCCACATGTTTTGTTGCAGATAAGCTATCGAAAGTTCTGTGGTTCTGTCCCTTTGTGTAAGGGGGAATGAACAGTTGTCTCTATTTGAACCAATATTTTGTTTATTCGGTTTGAACAAATTGGTATTTAGGCAAGAAAGTTATTTGTTTGTTACTGAGCGATGGCCATTAGAAGGAACAGAAAGGTAAATAGAGCAACTGCAGTAAAATAATGGCACTATTGTAATGTTAATAGTCTGTTCTGCTGTACTGCCCATCACACACTGGGACAGAATTTGAGATAAATTTGTTTAACATGCATTACCCAGGCCTAAGCAGAAATATATAATGCCTTAACTGTTGGTCGGCAACACACCCCCCCTCCCTCTCTCTAAAGGTTTCATATCTTCTTGCACTATTTTTGACACTAACTGAGTAATATCAACAAAACCTATTACCTTGACTGTCGGTCAGGTACAAAAGGGCCTCACTTGTTTGTCTTAGTTTCCCTGACTCATAAGTATTAAGTGTCATTTGATGACTGCGTAATTGAAGCATCCATTTATTGGAAAGCTTTCTAAAACAATACATTCGATTTTATAGTTTCTAAAAAAATTTTTTTTTTTATTCATGTACAATTATTTTTTTTAAAAATTGGTCCCCAAGAGGTAAACAAAAATATAATTTTTTTTCCGCTGGTGGAATTCAGTAATATGTTGAATTAAATAATATTTGGTGACAGCCATTTTGTCACCAGGTGACTAATTTGTTTGTGATTTAGGTCTATTTCTGAACCTCAGTTGATTTGTTACGCTCAGTGCTGGGACACTGCTCATGATAAAGTGGATTTCAAGCATTGAGGTCTTAATTTTTACACACATTTTTTAGGTCATGTTGAAACCGAAAGTTCAGGAAGCATCTTGTATACGGCCCGGAGTTCAGATCATCACAATATTGTGTACTGTGCCAATGAGAAATATGCAACTGATCTCTGATCGGTAGTCATTGGCTTCAAGTTGGCAGTTGAATGCTTCAAATGCGCAGATGGCATTTTTAACACTGTAAGAGTTGTATACAATAGTCTTGATGAGATGACGTAGTTAGAATGCTTGAAAAGCCCGAATATAATATTTTAATTGTGAAATTATTGTTGCCACAGAAAGGATGCAACTTTCAAGGCTTACCGGTATCTCAATTTTGCTTTCCAGCTTAATTCAGAGGTGGATAGCTGCTAAATGTGATCTTCAAAAATTATTACAATTTTTGAAAACTTTTAATGAAACAAATTGAAATTTGTAATTATTTTAATTTAGTGTTAGACAAAAGATTGAAATAAGCAATTTATTTAAAGCCATTTAATCAATGTGCACAAGGTCTTTTTAAAATTAATTTGATTTATATAACTTAAATGTTTGGATTAATAGTTTTTTATGGCTTTGTTATTTTTTGATTGTTCATATATTCACAGTCTAGACCAGTGTTTCTCAAATGGTTGTCAGCGGACAGTTGCCAGTCTGCGGGTCTTACGTTGCCGGTCCACGGGCCTTATGTTGCCAGTCAGCACAACCATTTATGGGTGAATAAAAAGAAAATGTCGTTAATAAATTTGGCACAGGTCCCTTTTGCAATTTCAAAACGTGTCGACCGGTCCACCAAACTCAAAAGTCTGGGAAACGCTGGTCTAGACATAAGATCCACATTGTCAATTTAATTTTACAACATTCTTGTCTAGAAGGAATTGCTAGGGAATATTTGTACCATCATGGATCTTAGAATGTGAATATACTATAAAGAAAATAATTTATATTGGTACATAAACAATAGTTGTAAAAAATAATTTAAAAAATAATAATAAAATAATCGCTTCTTTTTTCTATTAAATATATTAAATCGGTTACATTTGTGAAGCTGCTCTTAACTCTGAGAAACTTATTCTTAAAGGATTGATGCTGTAATTCATCAAAATTTTATGTGTGTGATATACCAAAAGCATTTTTAGTTGCTTTGAAGTAAAAGAAAATTTAAAAAAAAAAGAAAAAAAAAATCTATTCCCCAAGTAGAGTGAGATGCTTGGTACTCGTTAGCCATAAACCAAAGGTGGATACAAACATATTGGGATTTGATTGCTTAAGAATTCTGATATTTTTTATGCACTTCACTGTGTTTACAATTTTAATGAGTGTATTCTATGATTAAATTTTTGGTTATTTCTTGAGATTTAAGTTATCAGACCATGATATAGTGAAAAGTCTTGTGCGATGACAAATTGGATCGGGAATTGAATGAAATAGCTTTGAAAATTTTTTTTAATAATTTTTTTAAAGTCAAATTTTAATTTTTAAAAAAAATTCTACTCATGGGCTATAAATACTTCTTATGTCAAACTCTAATAGACATTCAAACCACATATGGGTGTCATTTTATGCGTCATACGACTCAGTTTGTCTCTCAACTCGTCAGCCGGGTACTCAATGAAGTTGTCTTGTTACTAGTTTCATAAGTGCAATTACCTGTGATTATGGGTTGAATGGATCAAAAGTGTCACCTCTGATCATGTCCAAAGTGATTTATTTTTTTTAAAATAGATGTTGAGTCTTGTTTCAATGTGGGTGCTTTGAATTTAATTGTTGCCGTGCTTGCAGAGCTGATATCAGGTTAGAAATAATGTTGCTGCTAGAACTTAAAATTAAAAGTATTCATTGTTTTTTTTTTTTCTAAATTCATTATGATTCAAGTTGTTCTGAGCATGTTTCTAAATATTTTTGTTTTAATAATGTTTAATTTCATCATTTAAAAAATTAGTTTTGTACCATTACTTACGAATGTACTGCCCTCTATTTTAAAGGGAGACCACATTTTTAAAAAAATTGGTTTTAGTTTTATTAGATTTGTTTAAAAATTTTTATTTATGATGGAGTGACTGTTCTTTTTAAAACATGATGTGTCCTTATTAATCTTGTAACAAATACATGTAATATACGATTTTGATTTTTGATTCAGGGGGTGAAAAGAAATTATGTTTCTCTCATCACTTTTATAAAATCTTTGGCGTTATCTTTTAAAATTTCCCGGAATAAAACAAACATAATTCATAAATTAGGCCACTGACAATATCTTCATATTTTAGTTTTGTTTATGAATCAAACTATGTTCAGTTTATCCAATGCCAAAGGTTAAAAGAAGTTTTTTAAATGGTAATCTTAAATATAATCAAATCTTTTCTAAAATATCAAAAGTTTATCAAAAAAATTATTATGCTTTATTTTCTGCCTGAGTTATCAGAAAAGGAATTCCGCTCCTGTTTATTAGAATTTCATGTGAGAGTTGTCCAAGGGCAACAACTGATTGGCTAACACTAATATTATAATATTTATTATTTTCTTTGTCATTCAGCCAAACTCAAATTCATTATATCAAATGAAAAACTGAAAGATTTGTTTCAAGTATAGAGGTTATGAATCTATTTCTTCAATTTTTTTTTGGAAGAATTATCAGTATCAGGTTACAAAAATAAGTTTTTTTAAAAAAGGTCGATTTTTTTTTAAAATGGGGTTTGTTTACAAAATAGTTCATCTGTTGAAGCCTTTAAAAACTCAGAAATTTTTTAAGTTGGTTTTGAAAAAAGTTTAAGATGAGATGTTTATTTCTTCAGTAAAGTAAAATTGTGGCAAGCTTCATAACTTGTTTATTTAATGACTGCTGCTACTTCAAAATTATTATGACCAATTTTTAAATGTGTTTAAAATAAATCCCACCCCCTCCCCCCTTTTCCCGAAACAAAATGTCACAATATGTACTATTTCATAACGTCACATGAAGCCTTTGAGCTATATGAAGTGGCCAGGTTCATTCTAATTATTGGTTATGGTTCAGTTCTACCTTTTTGTTCTCTGCATTTCAAATTAAAATCAGCATGTATAATTTCTATAGAGTTGATCTTGACTTGT